ACTGATCACGCCGGCCTGACCAGGTGATCCCTACTGGCCCTGTCACCTCTGATGTCCTGCCCTTGGGAGGAGACCACAAGTTCACTCTTTTCCCTAACCCCACTCCTCAGGTGCCGCCTGGGAGATGTGGTCCAGGTGGTTGGTGCCTACAATCAGTGTCCTGTGGTCAGGTTCACCCGCAGGTAGGTGACCCTGGGGATGCCGAGGGGCTGCCCCTGTCCCTTGGGTCCACTCCCTCCTCCTTCTTCCCTCAGGCTGGGACAGACCCTGAGCGTTCGAGGAGAAGTTACTGATGAGAATACCTTCTCTGCGGCCCTGGCCCAAGCAGTGGGGCAGTGGCCAGGGGCCAAGCTGTTGGACTATGCCTGTGTGGAGAGTGGCATTCTGGGTAAGCATTTCTCGCATTGGGTCTATCCCCCACCCATGTTCACCCTGACCAGAGACACCTAGGAAGGGATTCAACTAAGTCTTTTCCACTGCTCCTAACAAAAGTTCCTGTCTGTATCTAACTCCCATGCCTCTCACCACCACAGCCTCCACCTTTTTTACTTATTTATTTATTTGGTTTTTTGGTTTTTCAGGACAGGGTTTCTCTATGTAACAGTCCTTGCTGTCCTAGAACTCACTCTGTAGATCAGGAAGGCCTCGAACTCACAGATTCGCCTGCCTCTGCCTCCCGGGTGCTGGGAGTAAAGGCGTGTGTACCTCCTTTGCCCAGCTTCACCCATTTTCATTCCTGACCTTTCTCATACTCAAGTGTTGGGTCTAGGTTCCCCTCTATTTGCTGCTTGTCACTGAGACTCGCCCCCGCCCCCGTGAATCTTAGAATAGGGAAGATGTAAAGGCAGAGGCTCTGGCAGCCACTTTGTCCTCAGGAACTGTGTGTGGGGGTGGCTTTGTCCTCAGACTCCTGTGATGGTTCTGCCCCGCACTACGAGGTTTTCATGGAGCTGAGGGGATTGAGGAATCTGTCGGAGGAAAATCGAGACAAGGTAAAGGATGAGATGGGGTCTGGTTCAATCTCTTTTCCTCTACAAGCCCTCCCCAGTTGTCATGGAAACAAGGGAGTTCAGGGAAAGGGATACCAGGGAGGGGAACCCTTCTTCAGGGAATCTGGGAAGGGAGCATGGATCCTTGAACACACATTTCTAGACCGAAGTCCTTCGTGCAGGTGGCCTTGGGCACAGGCATATTCGTGCCACTGCAGGGTAGCCTCACTGTCCTGTTCTGCCCCTAGCTTGACCACTGCCTTCAGGAAGTCTCCCCTCACTACAAGTCCCTGCGGCGCCGGGGCAGTGTGGGTCCTGTCAAAGTCCATCTGGTTGGACCAGGGAGCTTCAGAGTCCTCCGAGAAGCCCTCGCAGCCTACCCCTCCTCCTCCTTCCCTCCTGAAATGCCTCGGGTCCTCAGACTCAGTCACCTAGCCCAGCTCCTGCGGAAGAGGGTGATATCTTAACCAAGGCAGCTGTTGCCAGACTCCCTTTGCCACCTGGCTCTTCCCTCTGGGGCATCTCCAGATGTTGAGTCCTGGACCAGACATCACATATTGTCCCATCAGAGCCACTGAGCCCTTAGGAGGCCTTAGACGCAATGGCCAGTTTTAAGGTAGAGGCTTTGGGCGTACAGCGGAATCCAGCAGTGCCTACGACCGTCTCCCTCAGCCTACCCTATGTGACACTGATGAGGAGCTCTGATACACCCTGGTGACTTCCTGTATCTCAACCTCTTATGTGCTTGACCAGGGTACAGCATGGGCGAAAAGTGTAGGTGATGCTCCCATAGTGGCTCCTTAAGGAGCAGGAGCGAATGAACAAAGACCTCGGCATCACTGTCTCCTGGTCTGAGGTATAATCTTGCACAGTCTCCTGAAAGGAGGAGGCTGGCCCACAAGAGTAAACCACTGTCCAATACTCTTCCTGTCAGCTCTCCTCCCTTCCCTCCGTCCTTCCCTCCCTTGCCCATTTTATCATTTGGCTCCCTGGATCCACTCCCAAATAAAATTCTTTTTAAAATATTGATGTATTGGGGGAGGGAAATGGGAGGCGGTGGCGGGGAAGAGACAGAAATCTTTAATAAATAAATAATAAAGTAAAAAAAATAAATGAAGGAATAATCAATTTCAAAAAAAATATTGATGTATTGATTTTATGTTATCTGTGTGTGCCTGCGTGTTTATGTGCACCATGTATATGCAAATGTCTCCAGAGCCCAGAAGAAGAGAGTGAGTTCATTGAATGTGGAGTTATAGGCAGCTGAGAACTGCTACGTGGGTTCTGGGAACCAAACCCAGGTCCTCTGTAAAAACATCCAAGGAGGGCTGGAGAGATGGCTCAGAGGTTAAGAGCATTGCCTGCTCTTCCAAAGGTCCTGAGTTCAATTCCCGGCAACCACATGGTGGCTCACAACCATCTGGAATGAGGTCTGGTGCCCTCTTCTGGCCTGCAGGCATGCACACACACAGAATATTGTATACTAAATAAATAAATATTAAAAAAAAAATCCAAGGACGCCAGGTGGTAGTGGTGCACACCTTTAATCCCAGCACTCAAGAGACAGCAGCAGGCGGATCCCTGTGAATTCAAGGCCAGCCTGGTCTACAGAGTGAGTTCCTGGACTGGCTGCAAAACTGTACAGAGAAACCCTGTCTCAAAAAAAAAAAACAACAACAACAAAAAAAAAAAAAAACAAGCAAGCAAGCGAACAAAAACCCATCAAGGACTCTTGGCTACCGAGTACATTTCTCCAGGCCGTCAAATAAAATTCTCATACCCAGATTCTGGGTGCTGCTTTGGGAATGTCATGTGGGCACCCTGCTTCAGCCACAGCCTGGGCTCCCAGCCAGCCACCCTTCTCTCTGCCCTGAGTTCCAGAGCTTACACCTCCTCTGCACACTGGCTTAGGTTAGTCCCAAGAGTGTGAGTACGTAGGAGCTTCTGGAGCCTCCCGCCTTGGCTTAACACAAGCAGACAGATGCATTCCACCATCCCATCCCCCACTCTGAAGGTGAAGGGGCTGTTTGTCACCAGCTTCACCCGGTCTCAGCACTGGTCTCCTTCCCGGCCTAACCTGCACAAATCACTTCCACGGTGAGTAAGGAGGAAGCTAAACTTCAAGTCACCAAGTATCATAGCAAGAAGGAGCCTCAGAGCTCCCTGCAGAAAGTACCCATAGCAGTAAGGAAACCAAGCTTCGAGGCTGGGAGGCCAAGACCTGCAGCTCCTCCTAAGTCAAGGCTGTGCGAGTCCAGATCAGCATCCAGCTTTCAGTTCTGCCTCTGAATGTTTCTCTGTCTTCCCATGTCCCTGCCCTTGGGCTCCTCCCTCTTCCATAGCCAGCACCCATCGGTCTTCCAATTATTGCCCAGCCTGGCACCTAAGGCCCTGGAAAACTTGACCCAACTTAACTCTCCCCTTAGTTCCATAGAAACTATGAGACCCACACCCCATGCCGTGTGAGCCAAGCACTGTCAAATCCTAGCCTTTGTTCACTTTGTCCCTTCTCAGGCATACTCTGTCCCCTTACCTACCTAGTGGAAGCAACTTGTCAGGCCAAGCCTTTGAGGGACATCCCTGTCCCACTCAGAAGAAAGTGACTGTCTAATTGTTGCTGGTTCTGAGTAGTCCTTTCCCTCCATTAAATTATCCTTGGACCACCGAGATGTCACCCACTCCTTGAAAGTGGGGGCATGGCTGTGAAGATGCTTACAGAGCATTTACTGCTTCTGCAGAGGACCTGGGCTTGGTTCCCAGCACCATAGTGGCTCACTACCGTCCAAAACTCCAGTCCCAGGGAACCTAAAACCCTCTGGATTCACGGGCACCAGGCACACACGCAGTGCATATCTGCATACACAGGCTAAGAAAATGGGATCACAGTTGGGCAATGGTGGCACACACCTTTAATCCCAGTCACTCGGGAGGCAGAGGCAGGTGGATCTCTGTGAGTTCGAAACCAGCCTGGTCCATGGAGTGAGTTCCAGGACAGCCAGGGCTACACAGAGAAAGGAAGAAAGGAAGGAAGGAAGGAAGGAAGGAAGGAAGGAAGGAAGGGAAAAAAGGAAAAGAGAGAGAGAGAGAAAGAAAGAGTCACATCCCAGGCACACTGAAGTCACTGTACCTGTGCAGAAATTGATCTACATCAAGAGCTCCTTAACAAGGCCCTGAAGGAGTTTGGCAAGTGGCATGAGTCCTTGGCAAGTGGATGAGTTCCATCCCACACCCATCACCCTCACACCTGGTTCCATGATGGTTCAGTCCTGAGGAGGGCAGAGTTAGACTACACAGTAGCCTCTTCTCTCCTGGCCCAGGAGGCATTGCTCTCCACCAGTTTCTAGAAACCAGGCTTGGCTGCCCTGTCACCCATTGCCCACAGTAAGTCTCCGTGAAAGTAAGACTTTCCATGGAGGAGTTAAGTGAAAGGGACAGAAGAAATGGAGGGCTGGGGGTGGGGTGAAGCAGTTTCTCCATGTTTCCATGGAGGAAAAAGGCTCGGGAACCTGATATTCCTCAGAGATGGACAAGGAGACGGCAGTGTGTGTGTGTGTGTGTGTGTAAATGCTACCCACGTATCCTCCCTACTCCCCCCCCCCACCTCTACGTACCATGGACAATGGTTCTCAGGCTGCCACTTCTGCCCCTAATTAGCAACTGCTCCCTCCCCATTGATTCTGGCCAGTGCCCCAGTCATGGCCTCTTTTGTGAACTCAGATTCCTGGGTGCAAGGTAGCCTCATTAGCACCCGGAGACCGCCCCATCTCCAAGAAACAGGCAGACAGACAAGCAGGGGACCAAGGACAGGGTGGCCATTCTTTGGGTCCAACCTAGAGACGGCTCCACGGCAAGATGCTAATCTTAGACATGCCTTTGTCTGGTTTAAAATGGGCGCAGATGCTTATGTCTCCCCCCCACACACACACACACACCTCAGAGCACTATAAACTCCTGCCCCTGGAAGCAGCCCACAGTCCACCACCGCCTCAGACTCCTTGGGTGTTTGGACTACTGCGCTGAAGACAACTGTCTTTCCAGACTGCCCTGCCCTGAGCTCCAGACATCATGAATTTTCTTTCTACAAAGGTAAAGAGCTGGGAATAGGGATGAGCCTCACCAAACCACTGAGGCCGCTATAGTGTTTGCTCAGGGGCTGGGACCAAGACGATCTTTCTCGGGCAGCACTGAGGCAGGACTCTGGGCGGGATCTCGGCCCTCAGACTGTTTGGTTAACACTAGGTACGCCATTCTCTTAGAGGCTCGTGTTTCATGAGCGAGCGCTTGTATTTCAGATGCTTTTGTGCTTGTCAGTTTATGTCTCCCACTTAACAGCCCTGGATAGCAGGGATGATTTAATGCCTGGTTTGTAGGTGAGGAAGGACCATCCTAAGAGGGTGAGAAACTGCTCCAAAGTCACAATGTTCAGTTTTCTCCAGCAAAGGAACAGGCCTGCTGTGTGTGTAGAGGGAAGGCCTAGGCTGAATAAACCCTTTGTTTCGGCTAAGCTTACATGTTTGGTTCAGACAGACACAGACACGTCTGTCTGCAGGTGGAACCTTTAAATGTGTTTGCAAGGGACAAACTTATTCAGCCGGCGAAAGTTTACGAGGGCTTCCTAGGGAAGGTGGCTCGGCTGTGGACTGAAGGATGAGTAGACGCAGGACACTCAGTGACAGTCAGGCACGATTTCAGGCAAGGTGAGGTTCTGAGCCGACTGGGTATGGAGTGAACCCCTTTCGCGCCCTGTCCCTCGTTCTTTTTAGGTTCCCTGGGCCGCCGTGACGCTGCTGTGGCTACTACTGCTGCCGCCAGCGCTACTGACGCTTGGGGTGGACGCACAGCCTCTGCCCGACTGCTGTCGCCAGAAGACCTGCTCTTGCCGCCTCTACGAACTGTTGCACGGCGCTGGCAACCACGCCGCGGGCATCCTGACTCTGGGAAAGCGGCGTCCTGGACCCCCAGGCCTCCAGGGCCGGCTGCAGCGCCTTCTGCAAGCCAACGGCAACCACGCTGCCGGCATCCTGACCATGGGCCGGCGCGCAGGCGCAGACCTAGAGCCACATCCCTGCCCTGGTCGCCGCTGTCTGACCGCTACCGCCACCGCTTTAGCACCCCGGGGCGGGTCAATCTGAACCGGTCTTCAAACCCTGTTCTGGTCCTCTCTTCTCCCCTCTGCTCGCCAATGTCAGTCTCTAGGAAAATGACAATAAAGACGAGTCTCTGTTGGTGTGGCTAATCTTTGTTCCTGTGTGTGTCAAGTTCAGACCTCCAGGGGGCGGGAGAGCATCTTGGGAACTGTGAAAGATCTAGGGCCCGGAAGGAGCTGGGTTTCTTGTCCGAAATACTTGGTAGGGAAGACTCAAGTGCAAGGGTCCTTGCAAAGTCCCGGGGTGCATGCCTGCGGGGGGGGGGGGGATGAGGTACCCATGTGTCCCACGTTGTTCTACTATCTACTTTATTTGCTTATTTCTATTTATTGATTTTAAAGCAGGGTCTTATGTATTCCAGGCTGTCCTCAAATGACCAGAATGACCGTAAACTTAAGTGACCTCCCCGGGTCTGCCACACCTGGGGTTTGTGCGGTACTGGGGGACCTGAACCCAGAGCTTTGGGTATTTTAAGCAAGCACTATACCAACCAAGCTACATCCTCAGCTCCTACTGTTCTATAAAAGGGACCTATATAGAAAGGTTCAGGAAAGCTGCCTCGTAAGGGAATAGAATCCAGCTAAGGGCTGGATGTAAGGTTACAGAAAAGGAAAGGCATATAAGCTTCCATGGCAACCCTTCCAGAGTGGCGGTGGCATGGTCGGCTGTGCGGTGGCATGTGAGCAATGTCATACTGGAAAGCAGGTGAGCAAGTTTGTGCAGTCATTGCAAATGGCCAGATATTGCACCTAGTTGTATAGAATGAAAACTGGGAATGTTCTTTTGTTGTTTGTTTTTCGAGACAGGATTTCTTTGTGTCTCTGTGTAACTTTTTGTTTGTTTTTGGAAATAGGGTTTCTCTGTAGCTTTTGGAGCCTGTCCTGGAACTAGCTCTTGTAGCCCAGGCTGGCCTTGAACTCACAGAGATCAGGCTGCCTCAGCCTCCCGATTGCTGGGATTAAAGGCAGGTGCCACCTCCGCCTGGCTTCTCTGTGTAGCTTTGAAGTCTGTCCTGGAACTCACTTTGTAGACCAGGCTGGTCTTTTTTTTTTAATATTTATTTATTATGTATACAATATTCTGTCTGTGTGTCTGCCTGCAGGCCAGAAGAGGGTGCCAGATCTCATTACAGATGGTTGTGAGCCACCATGTGGTTGCTGGGAATTGAACTCAGGACCTTTGGAAGAGCAGCCAGTGCTCTTAACCTCTGAGCCATCTCTCCAGCCCCCAAGCTGGTCTTGAAATCTACAGAGATCCATCTGCCTCAGACTCCTGAGTGCTGGAATTTAAAGGTATATGCAACCACAGCCCGGCTTCTGAGAATGTTCTTAAGCAAAAATGGGGCAAAAAAAAAAAGATTTTTTTTCTACGACTCTAGCAAAAGATAACTGTTGTGGATGCGAGTGTGCGCCCCCCAGATTCACATGTTGAAGTCTTAACCCCTCCCCCAGCATTTAGGAAGTGGTCTTGCCAATGCAGTCAAGTAATATAAGATGGGAGTATGGCAGACCTCTAATCCAGTATGAGTAGTGCTCTCATAAAAAAGGGGATTGGCATACACACAGAGACTCAGGAAGAACTCGTATGAACTTGGAAACAAAGACCAAGGCAATGCATGCACAAGCCAAAGATGCCAGAGCTCACCAGCAACCCACTAAGAAGCTGAAGGATAGCATGGAAGACTCTTCTTCAGAGGGATCTAGTCCTGAGGTCGGGATCTAACCTTGAACTCATATTTCTAGATTCCAGAATTGTTTAACGATCCACTCTGTGTCACTTTGCTTTAGCCCTAGGATAGTAATGTAAAATTAAAAAAAAAATAGAGACATGGGGGCTGGAGAGATGGCTCAGTGGTTAAGAGCGCTGCCTGCTCTTACAAAGGTCCTGAGTTCAATTCCCAGCAATCACATGGTGGCTCACCACCTGTAATGAGATCTGGTGTTCTCTTCTGGCCTGAAAGCATATATGCAGGTAGACCACTGTATACTTAATAAATAAATCAAAAAAATAAAAATAGAGACATGAGGGCTGGCAAGATGGCTCGGTGGATAAAGGCCCTTACTGCCAAGACTGAAGAACTGAGTTCGATCCTGGAGACCTACAAAGTGGAAGGCGATAACCGACTAAGGAAAATTGTCCTCTGACCTCCACACCCTGCACTACAGCACAGGCAAATACACACACATGCGCAAAATAAATGAATGTAACAATCCTGTTTTGAAAAGAAAGAAAGAAAAATAAAAGAAATATCCCAACTCCAGCAGGCGGCACTAGCAACCAGACACAAACCCCAGCGTGGGCCGCGCGGGGAAACCCGTAGGGTGGAGCTACCAGAGCAGCCAGGGAACCACGCGTAGGGGTGTGACCACCCTGAAAGAAGGGCGTGGCCATCATCCGAGCCCCACCTCATCACCTCAAGCCTCGATGGTGGGCGTGTCTCCGAGTCTCTCCCCAAGAGACACGCGTGGGCCGCTCCCCTCCGGGAGGAGAGCCGCAGAGGAGGGGTGCGGGTGTCTCTGGCGGCCCCTCCCGGTGCGGAGCCACGTGGTGGGCGCGGGCCGAGCCCTCGGGGAAGAACCTGACCCGTGGGGAGGTGGGAGGGGGGTGGCTCTCAAAGTGCTGCGGAGCAGAGCTCAGAGCTACCAGGTTCAGAGCAGAGGCAGCGGCGGCGAGAGGAGGGGAGGAGGCAGGCCGGCGCATGGGGCGCCCCGGCCCCGCCGGTAGCGCGCCCCCTCCGGCCAGGCCGCGCTGAACGCAGCCCGCGCAACGCCTCGAATCCGCACCCGGGGCCATGCCGGTCATGAAGGGGTTGCTGGCCCCTCAAAACACCTTTCTGGACACCATCGCCACCCGCTTTGACGGCACGCGTGAGTTGGATGGGGGCTGGGTCAAGTCTCCTTGGGACAGGGTGGGTATACTGGACACGGTGTGATCAGAGAAGAGAGAATGGGATGCAGGAACTCCTGAAGCCGTGGTAAAGAAACAGGGTGCGGAGCCCCTGAGAGTGAAAAATCAACAGACTGGGGCGGGGGGGGGGGGGGAGAACAAGGTTAGGGGGTGTGACTCAAGGCAAAAGAGGCTCTTTGTGCCATACGACGGAGGAGGGGGCCTTGGGAGCCGGGACAGAGCTGTGCTGGGGGTGTGTTTGGAGGTGTCTGAGACCTGGAGATGGGACAAAGTGGTCTGATGACTCCAGATGCTTCTGCCCCAGAAAAAGAGAAAGAGAGATCAGACTTAGTTAAGACCTAGTCTATATTAAAGTCACGCGAGCCCCAAATTATGAGATATCTGTGTGTGAGGTGGGTGAGGCAAAGCGGGGGCAAGTGCTTGAGACCATGGGAACTCTGCTAGCCCACCTGAGCGTGGTTCCCAAGTTCAGCACCTTGGACAGCCGCAGAGCTCCTTCCCGGCCTCTTCTCCCGCCATTCCCTCACCCAACTCTGGAACCCCCATGTCTTCCTTTGTCCCTCTCCCAAACCCTGGTGGGCATTAGGAGGGTGGGGGAGCGGTAGCCGAGGGCGGAAACCGAGCCGCCAGGGCTCTACCCCCCCCCCCTTGTTTCCATAGCGCCAATCACCGAGGCAACGGGCCCTGGGATGGAAGAAGTAGGCTGTGCCCAGGACCCAGTGCTTCCTAGGCATCCTAAGTGTCCCGATCAGCCACCCCACCCTGGGACTGTAACCACTCCTAGGGTCCTTGAACTGCTTGGGTCTCATATTCCATCAACTGAGCCTGTCCCTGGGTGCCCTCCCACCGCCAAGCCTCTAATCCACTGAAGCTAGAGGGAGCCAACTCAGGTTCTGGTGCTGGGGGTGGCTGCAGCTCACACCTCAATGTCTTCTCCAGTTTGACTTTAAGCACCAGGAGCAGATCCCCTGAAAATATCAAAAAAAAAAAAAAAAGTGGGCATTTCCTGGAAGGCAAGAAAGAGGATGTGTCTCCCACTGTCTTTCCCTCACTTTAAGCACGTTTGTGAGTTTGGAAATTGTCTGCCTTTTGGTTTAACAATAAGAGTATGATGTCATCAGAATCTTTGTCCTGCTCATTATAAGAAAATGCTGGGATTGTATTCCAAAACTGAGTGACTGCAGGGTGTGGGGAGGGGGAAGTTTTTTTCCTTTCTCAGAGTAGCATTTACTAAGTGCCAGGAGACCTTCTTCCCAGGTTACCTGACGCAACCCACAGCCACCAGAGAAAAAGACACACTGTGTCCCACTTTGCAGATAAGGAAACTGAGGCACAGGAGCTATAATTTACTTGCCCGGGATCACAGTCACTGTCACAGGGTGTTGGAAATGAGTCCTGGAACCCATGCCCTTACTATTCTATCATGCTTTCTGCAGTCACAGCGCCCCAGCTTGAAGGCAGCACGAACCCCATGGCCTCCTAGGGTTCCTTCTCTAGTCCTCCCTTGAGTCCTTGCCCTTTGGTTCTATCCCTTATTCTCATTTCAGAACATCTCAGAGCTCCCTTAGGAACCACCTAGAACCTTCTAGCTCTCTGATCTCTGCTCACAACTTGAGGGAACTGTTGTTCATCTGGAAGTTAGCTTCTTTTTGGCCTGGCCCTGACCCTGACTTCTCCCTCCTGCAGATAGCAACTTCCTTCTGGCCAACGCACAGGGCCCACGGGGTTATCCCATCGTCTACTGCTCTGACGGCTTCTGTGAGCTCACAGGCTACGGCCGCACCGAGGTCATGCAGAAAACCTGTAGCTGCCGATTCCTCTATGGCCCAGAGACCAGCGAGCCGGCCCTGCAACGGCTGCAAAAAGCCCTGGAGGGCCACCAGGAACACCGAGCTGAAATCTGCTTTTACCGAAAGGATGGTGAGGAGCCTGACCTGGCTTGCCATCTGCCCAGATCCTAGGCCTCAGCCGGAGTCTGCTGTGCACAGAGGAGCTTGGGGGCTTATTCTCCCATGGCCACAAGCTGGCTACAGAACTAAGTTCATCCTTCATCTTTTCTGGGCCTTGGTCTCTCCGTT